AAAAAAAAAAAAAAAAAAAAAAAAAAAAAAAAAAAAAAGAATAATTTGAGGGATTAGGTGTGGTGGTGCACACCTATAATCCCAGCCCTCAGGAGATGAGGGCAAAATAATCTTGCATTCAAGGCTAACTGTTAGCTAGAAAAACAGACAGACAGACAGGAAATAATGAATGTTCTTGTTGTTTGCAGAACTGAAAAGCACCTCATGATTTGTGGACTGGTGTTAGATGTGTATTACCTGATTAGGGTGAGAAGGTACACATCAGTCTGAAAATAATTACACCTGCTCATATAAATGACTCCTCAACCAACATTCTGGCAAGAGAACAGGACAAGAATCTTCCATCTTCTTAAGTCAACTTTTGGAGATGAAGCAAGTCATCTTCCTTGTTTCAGCTGAACCTGGGCTCTTTGCTTCACTGGCCCATTGGATGGTAAGCCTCCAAACCAGCATCCATTCACACAAGGACCAGCAGAACAGCCTAGACAGGCTCTTCTCAGGACCGTGGCAGAAGTGTGAAATCTTGTGCAGGCGTAGGCAGGCTTCTTCTTTATAGATATGGAACTAATGCTTCATAATCTCTGCTTCATTTTACTGGAGAAAGTGAGTCATATGGCCAAACCCAAAGACAAGGTGTAGGGAAGAATGCCCCTCCCAAGATACAGCATGTGTATGTCATATAGAGCCACAGAGGCAAACGTTGTGGTTAGAGGAAGACCCAAAATGAAACCTTCTACACTCTTGTTAGAGTACATAACTCTGCTGAGGTCTTAGACTTGTCCTTCTATCTCTATAATAAGCTGTTGTGAGAATTTTTTTCCTGGGTGAGAATAGATAACTTCTGCCCCTGTCCTTCTAAGGTTCCAACAACAAGCCAAAGTTTGAATCCATCAAAGCTCCCCCTTGGGGAATCAATGGGTTTATGGGTTTTACTTAGAGAGTGTGTAAGGAATTACTAATAGAAACATGGGTGACTGCAAATCAGCTTCCCTGGGAAGTCTTCACCCTGCATGGATGGCTTCCCCATAGCTACACAGAGGAAGGCCTATTCCTTTTGTCTGTAAAAAGGAACTTGTGGAGTGTTTTTGTCAAAAGAAATTCATAAATTGTTCCTAAATAGTCGTAATAGAATTTTCCCCTCTAAATAATCACAAAATTATATGTAAATTAGCATTCAGAGAAATCAACCAACAGGTAAGCGAGAAATTTTACCTAAGAAGGAACTTTGAAAGGGTTTGTAAGAAATGCTCCAGTAAAAAATAGATCAAGCGGAAGGAAGATTCTTTTTTTCAAGACAGGGTTTCTCTGTGTAGCTTTTGAGCCTATCCTGGAACTTGCTCTGTAGACCAGGCTGGCTTCGAACTCACAGAGATCCTCCTGGCTCTGGCTCCTGAGTGCTGGGATTAAAGGTGTGCACCACCCCCATCCCGCATGGAAGGAAGATTTTTATTTGTAGGATATGAGGGAATATTCATCTCGTTGTTTTAAGACAGGGCATGACAATACACGAGGTTGCAATGGTACCTTGCCGAAGTTCATCATCAAACACCATTTATTAGTACTTAATGACAGTCAGCCATTACATGAGGAGTTGTAAAATGGTCCTTTTCTAATTCTTCCATTCCTCCATCAGACAGTAAATGGAACATTTGTGTTGAACAAGTCTTCTCCCCTTTGTTCACCCTTGGAAGTTTCCATGTGGACTGATAGATTCATTTTCAATCTTAGTGGTCATGTTTGTAAATACTATAATAGTGTCAAACTGACCTATGAGACCCACTAATCCCAGTCTTCGCCCTCCTTTGGCACATTAAAATTTTTATTTAATTAACATTTTTTCATTTATTTTACATACTGACCAGTTTCCCCTCCCCTGTCTCCCTAACTGTCTCTGTGGGTTCCTCTGTCACTTTGGCACATTGTTCTTGGTTTAAGAGAATGTCCCTGAGTCAAAAAAGGCAATCTGTTTTTAGCTTACTAGTGCTCTGGAATTTGTCACACCCCCAAGCATCCCTTGTTTTTTTGTCTGTTTTCACCAGAACTGTTCTTAGAAACGAGGATCTAGGCAGTCGATGTGCCTATTGTCACTGGAATGTCATTGCTTGTAGATCTTTTCACTTGTGTGTATAAAACTTTCAGCATTGCTCACAACCGCTGCTCTAATACCAGACATACAGTCTGAAGCTTCGTATCTCAGTCATCTCTTTGCTCAAGTTATCAGGCAACCAGGAACATAGAACGTGGCCTCAAATTGTCACCCGGTAGATGACTTGTTAGTGAAAAGAAGAAGAGTCTTTACAGTGCTGACACCTGGCAGTCACCTCCAAATCACTGATTGAAATTGGCCTCATTCGTCATGGGACTAGCTTTGTGCGGCACCTGAGATGATGCACCAGGGACGTTGGCAATATCGCCTTGCCAGAAAATATTATCCTTAATCTATTCACGAGGAAAAGAAATCAGGCAGGTCTGCCATACCCCATAATGTTGGCTGTGATGATTAATCTTGCCAACTTGGTGGCATTTAAAATCACCATGGAAACAAACCTCTCAGTATGTCTGGGAGGGAGCTTCCAGATTGGGCTAATTGAGGTGAGAAGACCCACCTTAAATGCAGGTGGCACCATTCTATGGGCTGGGGGTCCTATACTGAATAAAAGGAGAAAGGAGTTGAGCATCTGTGTCCGTGGGTCTCTGCTTCCTGATTGTGGACACCTCACGCTCTTGCCGCCATGACTCCCGCCATGATGGACGACAGTACCACCACCCACCTGTGCGCCAGAACAAATCCTTCCTTAAGTTACTTCTCGTCATGTTGATGACAGCAATAAGGAAGGTAACCAATGCCAATGTCGCCAGGTGTTCTGTCGTATGCCTGTGATCCCAGCACTTTGGAGATGCAGGCAGAAGGGTTGCAGATTCAAGGCCAGTCTGAATTATATATTGAGACTGTCTCAATAAAGCAAAGCAAAACAAAAGTTAATGCCACACCAAGAGTAAACCAGAGAGGAAGTATTCTCGATGAAAATGGACTAAGGGGACAAGATAACCAAATAAAATACATGATAAAGGATGCTTGTGAAAAAGTTGGAAACTATGCATATTGGTTATGATTATGATATCGTGTATTAGAGGGCATCAAGATGGGGAGATGTGCTTATCAAACACATTGGAGGCTTGGTCTGAGACAGGAAGCAGACCCCTCTTTTTGTAGATGTCAGCAGATAAAGAAATGACCTAAGAAGTTAGGTGGTAACAGGGTGTGTCATTTTTCACTGTGGGGGAGTCTACCAGAAATTCTGATAGAGTTGCAAGCAGCCTTTCTCAAGTAAAAATGGAGGTGGTGGGGAGGTTAGGGGGACTTATGCCCAACGGTTTCCATTCCTTTAAACTCTTCACTTGCACAATTTTGATAATATTAAAACAAAACAAAAACAGTCTAGAAACAAAATTGAAAAATGCAAGTGAGACCGAGGGGAACCACATTGGAATAAGATTCGGAAGACCATCCCGTCCTGGGAGAATCAGAACCAAATCCTGCGGGATCCTGTGGAGAAGTTCAAGTAGGGTCACCATACTGCAGCAGCCACAGCATCACAGGAAAGCAAGCCTTCTTTAAATATTTACTGACCTCCTTCTTCAGGCCTCTAACAAGTCCTTCACTTATTCATCTGGACAGCACTGGAGGTGTTCAGGTTTCAGCCACTCGTGTGGAGTTTCCGTCACTTACCTCTCCCAGCACTGGGTCTGGGTTAACGTGCATGGACTGGGCATATAGTCTCCCACCATTTCAGATGGAAACCTCAGAATTCTTCCAGAGCACCAGGTGATGTCCTCCTCACACGCCAGGCTTGTTCACGGCCTGTCAGTCTCCCCATAGCCCCTCTTTCCCCGAGACTCAAGCAGGAGATCCGGAAGCTGCTTTGTTTATATTTCCTGTAATAGAGCTTCACATGAGTTCTGGCTGTCCATTGAGACTGAATGGTGTCTTATGGTAAGATTTCCAGAAGTGAGCAGATATCATTATCAATGAAAGCTACTCTTGAGATGGGTTGACTTACTAAGGAGGGTTTGAAAAAGAGATGGTGTCTCCTTGGGGGATGATGCCAACCGTTTTGAGAGTGAAGATCCACTTGGGAGGAGACAAATACTATAAATATGGAAAAATATATTGGTGTCATTGATACCACTCAGGGAGAAAATCCTGAAATGAGAGAAGGGATTTGAGCACAGAGGGAGAAGGGAACTGGGAAGAGTTGAGGAGTCTAGTCCATCTCCATTTTGTCTCACTGTTTGCATCATTATCTGACAGCTTCTGCTAAGATGTTTCACATTTGCCTTCAGATAGTGATGACATCGCTCATCCATATTGTTGACTATGGGGAAAAAACACTTGAATAATGTGATAGTAAATTTCTTCTCTGTGTAGTTGTGACAGTGAGATTGTTTTTGTCTTTTGATCACACACACACACACACACACACACAAACACGCACATACACAGACACAGATATTTAGAGAGATGAAAATTAAGATTCTAAGGGATTTCTTCAAACAAACAATAAACAAACAAATGGCAGGAGAGCCGGCTCAGCAGTTAAGAGCACTGCCTACTCTTCCAGAAGAGCTGGGTTTGATTCCCAGCATCCATATGGCAGCTCACTACTGTCTGTAAACTCTATTTCCAGGGGATCTACCACTCCCTTCTGGCCTCCTTAGTCACTGTATACACATGGTGTACATCCATACATACAGACAGACGAAACACTCATATACATGAAATAATTATAAAAATTAAAAAACCCAACTAATTGGGGCAAAATATAGTATTGTGCCTTTGCTATGTTAAGGGGTGGAGGGAAGCCAACAATAAACAAAACAACAACAACAAAGTAAGGCAAGGCCAACTCTAACTGTGCTCAATAGGGAGTTGTTTCCACTTTTTCTGCAGGAGGTGACTGATTGTAGAACGCCCAGTGCGAATTCCCCACTCCTGAGGTCCACTGGACCCTTCCCATCACACTGCATCTTCCTCTCTAGAGTCTACCTTCCTCTCTTGGTCTTCTTTATTTCCCCAATGCTGCTCTCTTGTGTAAGTTTTCAAAGAAGAGGACACCGTTAAGGAGCAGGGTGTCACAGCAAGGCTCCATACGAGGCACTGGGAAAGGAGTAATGTCTTCATGGTTGCAGGACAAGCAAGCCTTCAGACATGGGTGAGAGTTGTTTAACTATCCTTCTGAAAACGATCATCTGGGTTGAATAATTAATATCATTATGATAAGAGCAAAATAGAGATTCTTTGAAAAGAGTAACGACGGGAGAGGCAGGAGCTTAGCATGCTCGGGAGAGCCATTAAAATCCAATGCTGTTTTCTGTGCTCTCCGAGAACAGCAAGCAAAGGAAGATGTGTCGGATTTAGCACAAAGCTTTCCTATGCATGCTATCAACTGAGCCTTTAACAAATTACTTTCTAAAATATTTTAAAAAATCATTCAAGTGTTTTCATCAGAAACAAGAAGGCTGCTGTTTATTTGGTTAAGGAGCAGGGGTAGACTGACATTGGAGTGAGTGTAGCTTCATATTTACAGCTCCTCAGAAGCCATTCACCTTGTGTTTTGATCTCTCTCTCTCTCTCTCTCTCTCTCTCTCTCTCTCATTGGGACCTGGAGCTTCCAATTAACCTAAGATGGCTGGTCAAGGGATCTGTAGGGATCTGCCTGTGTTCCCCCACCTCAGGGTTGAGAGTACAAGCATGCACCATAATGGCTATGCCTGGTTTACAAAGTATCTGCTTTAGATATTTTTACTTATTTATTTACTGTTTGTATGTGTGAGTCTGCTTAAGTAGATATGCATCATGTATGTGCAGGGCCCATACAAGTCAGAAGAAGGCACTGGATTTCCTGGAACTGGAGTTACAGGTGATTTTGAGCTTCCATATGTGTGCTGGGAATAGAACTTAGGTCCTCTGTACAAGGATATAAGTAAGTACCCTTAATCACTGAGTCATGTCTTCCTCCCTCAAAGTATCTATTTTAAACATACTCAACAAATTAGAATTTTGTTTAAGAATCTGTCTGCAATGTTTCCCATTTGAAAGGGTCTCAAAAATTTCAAAATGGGCTCATCAACACTAAATTTCTAAAAATTTTTATAGGCTTGGAAGAGAAATTCAAATGAAGAAAGGTGAGTGAAGTCCACTGAAAGAAGTCAGAGATTGATTGTGTTACTTCAAACATGATTTCGAAAGACACTTTAGTAAAACAAGTGAGGACTCCAAGACTGTTGCTTGGGCCATACTGAAAGAGTCCCTCTTTCCATTAGCTACATTTGCTTATTAAAGAACCAAGAGAAAACCCAGATGGAAATGAATCGAAAACAAAGAGCTTAAGCTGAACACTGACATCAGCAGAAATGAATCTGACACAAGGAGCCACTGCAGCCCTCCTCCAACACCATCACATAGAAACTGTCGTTCTTTAGGAAGAAAGGAGACTTTTGAATAGAAATAATGAGCAAACTCTGGCATTAGTTGATAATCTAATTAATGAGGAGGAGTGACTCATACGGACACCTAGGAAAGAAGATTTCAATTCTGTCTGATTTGAGACAAAATACTGACACTGGCAATGATAATGTAAAACTTATAACCCATTAAAAACCGGTACATGTCTTCAGTTCAAGATAATTTCAGGTTAGTTAAGAAAAGTTGAAATTCTTATAGCATTACAACTATATAAAAATGAAATTTGATGCTTTTTCTCAAACTTGACAACTCCCAAAAAGTATATTTCATGCTTACCAATAAGAAAGCCATTATTCTCAATTATCTTAACAGTGAAAAAGAGCTGCCTGCCAACTGGCTGTGCTGAAGAATAGATTGGATCTTTTTGTTATTTGATTACTTTCATAGACATGTTACTTTAAACCATTATGCAAAGAGATGCTCAGAGATATGTATTTTAAACATGAAAGCAAGTACTGCAGAAGTGTCAGGCTATTCCCCTACATGAATTGTTATTTAAATTTTTGTTTCATAACATTTATGAATATTAAAGAATTTTAAATTGTTGTGATTTATTTCCACATTTTAAGTATTCACTTTTACACCATTATTTTAGTTCCTTCTTTTAAATAGGCACTCTAAATTGTATAAGCTCTAGGCCCATCTTTCATTCCCAGTGTTTGATCTGAAAGGCATTGAGATAGCTATATGGGTGTGTGTGTATATATAGTCCTGCAAGGTATGGGCTTTATGTCTGCCCATTGGGTTAAGGACAAGTGTTTGCAGTATTTCCGGGACCCTCTCTTTGAGTCCAGCCAGCTGGCAGAATACTTTCAACTATGTCCTTAGCAGCCTGAGGCAAGAGATTTTCCTCAATAAACAACGTTTCAAAGTGCAATCCACCATTTTCTCCTAGAATATTGCTTCCTGTGCAGACTGAATAGGAATAAGCAAATGTCTTCCTTGCAAAGCAGAGACATAGCATTACAAATTCATGAGCCTGGGTGGTCCTGAAGGTAGTTCTTTGGAGACGTTCGTGGACTTTTGTGAGAAACCCAAATATGAATGGGAGAAACCTGGCTGGATGGCGCAGGTGTGTAATTCCAGTTCCTCAGGAGGCAGAGGTAGAATGATAACAAGTTCAAGGTTTTCTGGGTTACCTGTGGAGTTCAAGGGCAGCCTGGGTGACTCAGTGAGATTGTCTCAAAATAAAAGTAGGAACACGGCTCGGGGTATAGCTTAGTGGTGGAACATTTGCTTGGCAAGTGCAGAGCCCTGGGTTCAACCCAGTTCCAAAAGGAAAGGAAAGAAACACAGAGTGGATGCCAGGAAGTCTGAGAATGAGAGGGAGCTAACCCTTGGGCCCAGTGATGGGACGCTTTGGAGAAGGGCCTAGCACTTTTCACTCCGTAAGCTTTGTGGTTTCTAGGATGACTTAGTCCTATCATCAAAACCAAAACCAAAACCAAAACCAAAAAACCTGCGCAGAAAAGTGACCTCAGAAAAACCCTAATAATTACTAAGCACACACATTAGGCAGCCAAGCAACAGGGAGGGCTGGGAACGTTATAAAGTACAGTAAGAAATTCTCAGAACTATTAATTTAAAAAAAGAAAAAGAAATTAAGCAACTAATTGAGAAGACAGGAAATATACCAAAGAATATAACTCTCAGGTAAGCCTTGTGAAATTGCCTATTTACTATAGGTCTGTAATGGTTACTTCATGTGATTGAGAGTGTCATGAATGAATTGCCAATAGTGTTGTATGGCTCAACACAAACAGCTACGGAGCTATTATTTTTCCTTCTGGCTGGCCAGTTCTTCACCCAGCGTGGTATTATGAATATGTTACATACTGGGATGGTACATGCAAGAGGTATCTCTCAGTCACCGTGATAACCAGTGGAGTCACCTGTGTTTTGCATTTCCACACATGGCAGGTAGAATCAGAGTGTGATGTTAAGCAAATGCCCCCTCTCACTCACAAATCTCTCAAATTGTTACAGAAATCAGTTCAGGCTTGGATCACTAAACAGTATGCCCAGACCAGGAAGACCTTGAGTTAGACTTCCAAAGGACAGAGTGGGCTGCGTCGGGGGCAGAGGGTGTGCGTGCTTGGGATTTGCCCTCCGCCAGCAGCAGTGGACGGGCTAAAATGAAAATGTTGGGTTTGGGCAAAGAGGAGAGAAAGTAAAGTAGAGCAAGACACCGTTTTAGGAAGAGGGGTGGGAAGGGAAGGTGGCCTATGAGGTGAAAAGCAAAAGAAGATGAAATTTAGAAAAGCAGAGTGACAGTCAGCCCTCAAGAAGTGCTTAAGTGGGCGTGGATCCCATGCTGAGGGAAATGACCATTTCTGGAAGCCCCAGGGCAGAGTGCTTCTGAAGGGTGCACAGAGAGAGGTTGGGTCGGGCCGCTGGAGCAATTGCAGAATTCTACAACTTCCCAAAGGGGTAGACGGACCAACCTCACTCTGCGGAGATAATCAAAACTGCCACAGGGAGAGTAATCTGCTTGTGAACATATGACATTTGTGTTTTCATCTGTGTGTCTTAAAAACGAGAGATTCTGAGAACAGCCTGCCGACGTCCAGGGAGCAGGGTCGCATGGCTGTTGAGAAGCAGCAGCCTTAGGTCTATAGGCCAGCACACCCTCCCTCGTAGACCAGAGGTCCCTGGCTGCTCCTCACACAGCAGCTTCCCGTGTTCAGGTCACCCCCTCCCAGGGCTGTGACAGAGGAGCCCGCGTTTCCCTACTGTAGAAGTTCAACACTGCCGTAATATTCTGGACCACTGAAGACACAATGGGTGAGGATAACAAGGATGTTATCTACAAGGACATTAATATTGAAAAACAAATAACACTACAAGTGGTCACAAGTACTCCTGAACACATACAGCAACTTAAGAATGGATGCTGTTTTCCTTTTTGGAGAAACTGCATTTGTCGGTCCTGTAAGACAATCATGTATGGGGAACATTTGTCTATCATCTTTTCTCAAGATCTTTTAAAAATGCCATATGCTTCAAAAAAGAACCCCAAAGTCCTCAAGTCTTCCCTAGCAGCCAGAAAAATCACACACACACACACACACACACACACACACACACACACACACACACACACTATGCTGTACAATTCAGCCGTTAATCACATTTACCTGGTTCCCTATTGCTTTATCTTCCTGCACTGAAGACAGACCTTAAGCTCCCTGAAGGCAAGAATTCAGCCCTCAAGTTGTGCCCAGCGCCCAGAACGCAGGTACCCAGCAAAGGCTGCTGAGTGGAACCACCGTGGAGGGGGGTTTTCAGTGTCAGTCTGCGGCGCGGCCTTTGAGCTGTTTTGCGCAGCTCTGCCTGGAGGTCCACGGGGGCCACTGTCTCGTCCCCTCACCCCTAAGCCGCCCTACATCGCTGCCATTCCTCGCTGCGGCCAGAAGGAGGCGCCACGGCCTCGGGTTAAGCTTTTCCCACCCCCTTGCTACCCCACTTCCCCCAGCTCATGACGTGAGAAGCAGCCTCAGCCAAGAGTCTTAGCAGTAGGAGTGAGGGGGTGATGGAGGGGGTTTGGGGGTGGGGAGGGGTGGGGGGTGGAGAGCAAGAGGACGCGCGTGCACACACACCCTGCCTCTTAGATTTCTCCTCCTGAGCCCGAGTGTGAGAGGTAGGGGGTGTGTGTGTGTGTGTGTGTGTGTGTGTGTGTGTGTGTGTGTGTGTGTGTGCTTGTGCGCGCGCTCGAGCGCGCGCCTGTGTGGCACGTTCCTGGGTGTGAGACCCAAATCAAGACCAAGACCTTTGATGTCCCCGCCCTCCTAGCGTCGCCGGTGATTAATACCCATTTTTCTTACTCTCCCCCTCCTCCCCTGCTTTTCCTCTCCTGCTGCCGAACGCTTGACTTGCCCCCGCCCGCTTCCCCTCCCCCGGCTCCCATCATCACCAACTGGAATCTGGGCTCTCCTGCCTCTCCACCCCCCCCTTTTTTTTTTTTGAGAAAGGAAGGTCCTCCCCCACCCCCTTTCCAGCACCACTTCCTTGGGCTCCTTCACCTCTAGGAAATCTCGGGGCTTGGCTCTATGGAGAAGCGCTCCTCGGGTCAGGCTGCCTCTCCGAACCCGGCATCCAGCGGTGCTGGCTTCCAAATGCATTTTCTTCTGCTCTGCAAAGAGTCGTAGTGAACTTCCCAACCCTGGAGACTGATCCATCTATCCTGCCTTGCAGGAAAGGGAACCCCTCAGACCCTCGACACCCGCCACCCCTCTCCGGACACTGCCATCGCGGAGGCGCTCAGAGCCGGTACGTAAATGCTCGCTTTGGAGTCTAAATTTTGGGGGTTTGGGGAAATCAGGCAGAAAAAGGGTCGAAACCTTGGCACCATCAACCAACCTGGTGTTGGGTACAGCTTTCCGACCCAGTAGCACCGGGCACTTGGTATTTTGGATAGGGCTTTTTTTTTTTTTTTTTTTAAACAAAAGGATATTTTTGGGGAGGGGGTAGGGCTGCCTTTGATCTTTCTGAGGGGGTTAATCCCTTCTAGCGCGGAGGCTAGGCAGCAGTGCTCGCGGCAGGAGCCACGCGCTGCGACCCTCCAGTCCAATCCACTGGCTGCAGGTGCAGCCCGGTGCGCTGCACATCAGCGCGGCGGCGGCGTGAGTGTGCGCGGGGGTGAGTGTGAGTACGCGCGGGGGCGCGTGCGCGTCGGGGGCGTGTGTGTGCGCGCGTGTCAGTGTGCCCCTTCCAAGAAATGCCCAGTGTGCGGCCGGTGCACAATCAGAGCCCATTGAGCACGAGCCCGGGGTGGGAGGAGGCTCTGCTGCCGGAGGAGAGGAGGAGAGCGAGTCAGACATGTCAGCAGCACTGCAGATGGGGCTGGGGGCCGCACTCGCTGGCGAGTTAAGTGGGGATGCTGTGCTTGTGCGCGCGCGCGCGTGTGAGTGTGAACTGCCTTGCGGATCCTCCTCTCCCTGCCTTCCTCCTTGCTTCCCATTTCCCCCTTTCCCTCTCTTCCATTCAGGTTGGCTTTTCCCACCTCTCATCCATGCCTGTCCCAGGAATGGTATAGGCAGACCTTTTCTGAATTATTTATAGATTGGTGCCAGCTGTTTTCAATTCCTCTCGCGTGCACTCTGTGGGAAATGCAGGGTTTCCTCCCCCCCTTTCTTATAACGACTTGATATATACATATATATTTTTCCGGCATGCATTTTGCTCACCCTCCGGGGGACACTCGAATCAAACCCTGACCTCCTCTTTTTTTCCCCTTAGGAAGGGGACGCTTTGGGAATGACCATGCTCCACGGATGGACGGAGCCGGCCCCCAGCCTCTCCACACAGAGACTCCTCTGCTAAAGCTCCAAAAATAAAACAAAAAAACCAGAAAACCGTAATTGCCAGAAGACTCCTTAAATGTATATATTCGGGCCACTAACCTCACATGCACATGGAATAATGACTCTGGATTCTGCATTGTGAGCTGCTTTCCACACCCTGAGATTCCCTTTTGCATTAATTTTTTTCTTTGAATTTGCATCTCTTCAAGACACAAGATTCAAACCAAATTTACGCTACATTGGATTTTAAATCTCTTCCGTTCCTTTATTCTCCGTCTTTCTTATGTGGATATGCAAGCGAGAAGAGGACCCTGGATATTCCCAACATGCTCTCTCCCTTAATCTGTCCGCCTAGAGGTTTGGCTTCTACAAACCAAGGTAGGGCACATTCTATTTTATTCTTTTTTTTTTTTCTCACCTGGGGTAGGGATTCCTCATTTTTATCTGTCTTTTCCAGTCTCCCAGACGGTGTTTTTATCTGGAAGAAAAAAAAATAGCATGATATCAAAATCATGCTGATTGGGGGGAAAGGTAAAGGTTTCTGTGACAAAGAAGGGAGTCTCTGGGTTGTGTCTTTGCCCTGTCATCAAACAGGTTTGTTGTTTTTGTTTTTGTTTTTTTTCCGGGAAGGTGGTTGGGGGTGGGTGTATGCAGGCACACAAGATGTTGGAGGGCGTAAGGGGTGTATGCTATATGCAGACACAGCCAGCCAGGACCTGTATGCCTCCCTCACTTAAACAGCATCCTATTCACCCAGAGCTAGTGTTAGATCTTGGTGGGCATCTAGAGATTTTTCTCCAAGCTGAGTTTTTTTTTTTTTCTTGCCATCTCCATTTCTCTCTCCATGTCTCCTGTCTTTTCCTTTCCATGCACTGTAAAAATAAATGAATAAATAAATAAACAAATAATAAGTAAATAAAAATAATGGTTGGGATTACTGTGGCTAGTGCCCTGGAACCTACTTGGTGTCTAAAGAGAGGGTTGACACTGGGCCCATGGATCCCAGGAGGCCTATTGCAGAGGGGCAGGTGTAGAGGGGGACTGGCTGGTCTTAGAACACCTGGATTCTGCAGGTTGAAGACTTCAACCTTAAGCTTGAAAAGAAGGGATTCTGTCAATATTCTGCTTTTCATTGTATCTTTTCCCCGTGAGCTATTATTTTTGAGCTGTAAATTTCTCCTTCTGTCCACACATCTATTTATACCCACACATCCTCCAAGCAAACTGTTACTTCCACACTCTGGCAAAATGGCTATCTTGCAGAGTTCTAAAGCGCCGTGCATGTGGAAGGGGTGCAGAATCCGACACGTGAGTCTTTGTGTTAAACAAAGAGATGTGCTGCTTGCATGTGTTCATCCTGTACCCTAAAAAAAGAATTGATATTTTAATTTTTATCCTCTCATTCATTTTAGCAATATTTGAGATTGTTATATATGTGAAATATATATAGCATATATAATGCCTAGAAATGTAACAATATGTGAACTATGCCCAATCTGTTGGGCAGCATTTGAAAAGAGAAATAGGAAGAGAAATGGAAACGACTTAGCTAACAGCCTTTCTGCTGGCCACTCAGGCAGCCAAGACAACTCTTGAGAAAATCAGATCATCCCTGGCTTGAGGGCCAAGATGGGGGTCTGGCTGCTCAGTGCCTTTCTACACTGACCACATACCCTCCAAACTCTAAAGATATTCTCAGGCAGGAATGAGGTTGGGAAAAGGTCTTCAAAAACATGGAGCTGAACCATGAGCATTCAATAGTCCTTCTCCAAATACCACCCCCCTCAAAGTCACTTAAAAAATAATCATCCTTTAAAACAATCTAAAAATACTAAAGAGTTGTAGGGGAGGTAATGGAAGGTCCTTCCCAGTCACTCCAAATGACAGTAGGCGATAGTTCTTTATTGTCCAGAAAGGATGGATGAGGATGCCATCCAAATTTACTGTTCCTCTCCCCTAGGCCTCATTCTTTGAGCTTTCACTGCTGAAATGCCAGTCTGTAACCATGGTGTAATGAGAGTGAGAGGGTGGGATCCCAATTTGAATCCTGTTCTCACCATGTCTACAAATAGCTGAGGTTATCTGGTGTGTGCTCACCTTAGAGACACCTGAGCTGGTTCCCTGTCTCCATATCACCCTTCAGTTGGGAGGAAGAACTCTTAATTTTACTTCAAGATAGAACAGAAGGATGGATGAGGATGTCAGCTCAATGTGCGGAGAGTTCATACGTGCTGATGGGACAAAGAGAGGTGGGCATCTGTAGGGCCCGTGGCTTCTTTTGCATCCTGGTTGCCTGTGACAGTGCTCTGCAACTGAGTGGGACTTGGGAATGTTCCTTGGTGATAAGATCAATAGGGGGCTTTGGGCAGGGTCTCAGTCAATTCATTCATCATGCATGCTAATAGGATTAAGTCAAGTTCAAGCTGTCATTAGTTGGCCCAGAGACCAGGCAAAGGAGAAGAGGTTAAAAGAGCAGAGTACTGAGGAAGAGAAGGCAAAGGGGTCTAGAAAGTTAGACAGAAATGAGAAGTGATCCAGTGGAAAAGACTTATTAGGGGTCAAGGAAGTCCTGCCACAGGTGGCCTGAGGCTACATGGAACTCAAAGCCATTTTGGGGACTCTGGTGAGGAAGCTGTGTGTCCCATCTTTGTGAGCAGTGCCCATGATGCTGTGACTCAGTGGCATTCTGGGTCTTCCTGGGGCCATTGTTCTGGCCCTCTCTTCCCTGCCCATCATGAAGAGCTAAATGGGTTTTCCTTTGTTCTGGCCTTTTGCCATCACCCCTGTGGTGGGGGTGATGTGGGAAGTTAGTGGGACCACTGGTGGGAGGAAGGACAAAGTGCATTGCAATCAAAGAGCCTGAGATTGGTAACTAAGGAGACATTAATAGGAAATAATGAGTTCTAGGGATGCATGGTTAAGGATGCGGCTCTAACTGGAGGAGAACCACGTGTGGTTCTGTGTTTCAGGTATGATGGTGTATGATGCGCCAGGGAAAGGGACGTTGTGGCAGATGCCGGTGTGCAGGGAAAGAAGCAGGGCATGCCACTGAATTGTCTAATTTATCTCTCCTCTTGGTTCCAGCTCTAGGAAGCCTGCCCATCTGCAGATTCTTGCTTTGCTACTGGTTGTGTGTGATCTTTGTCAGGGGTGGATGTAGGCAGGGAGAATAAGTAAGGAGAGAAAATGACAGGGGAGGGGAGGAGGAAGAGAGAATTCCTTTAGTCACTACTTTGCATACCAGGTACTGTTTTTGAAAAAGACAGGTTCAGAAGAGCGACTTCTTCTGGAGGGAGGGTGAACAGCAAGGGACCTTATCATTGCTTCTGTTTCATGTTCGGGAAGATGGCTTTAGAGCTTTGGCCATTTTCTCAAACCTTCAACCCCATCCAGTCCTGTATGGGGAGGGGCAATGGTCACCTTTGAGAGAAACGCATGGACAGAGGTTAGCTGATGCAGGGATAGAGAAGTGCATGGCTGCTGTTTGGTGGGGAGGAGCAGGACAGAGTGGATGCTGGGACACATCATCACCTTTGAAGTGGTTTGCCATCTCCTGCATGGCTATGATGAATCCAGGGGCGGGATTTCTTTCCTCTAATTTCTTCTTCAAGAATCAAATGAAGGTAACATCTTCACCAGTATTGACAAAGCTACTGCAAAAATTTTGTTACTGCTTGTGGACTTGAAACACAGAAGGAAGCAGGGGGAAAGGAAGTTGCATGTCAAGAAACAACAGCCTCAAACGAACATCTAGAACCAGGGAAGAGAAGGAATCCAGGGCTGAGCTGACTGTGGTATAGGCTGGAAGCAGGTGTTCCAAATGATGGGCCTCTCTCTCTAACAGTGAAGATAGGAAATGACCTCCAACTCATCTCTGGTGTCTTGATGGGAGTCAAGAGTAGAGGCTACAGAAGTTAAGATCTCCTTTCTCCTTGCTATTTTGCATTCTCCTTAAGAATTACTTCCTTTCAGTGAACTCCATTTTCAATCTCCGTGACCCTGCCCATAACTGAGTACTACAGTGCTGTTCCTCTGTAAACAAATATAGATCACAAGAGTTGCGGGTGTAATGAATTGTTGACATTTATTAAAGTGCCTCTCCTCATTGGAACCATAGAAGAAAGCTCCATGGAGAGAAGATTAGTGGTTGAATTGGCATTATCTTCCAGGAGGCTGATGATGGGAAGAACAGAGTGCAGTCAGTAGAGGGAGCACCCAGAACTCAGAGGAGGTGGGTTTCCGAGGTCTAGATGCAAGTCGATGCAATGCTAGCTGTCTGCCTGTGATTGTTACCCCCATCTACTGGGTGGATGGACAGAGAGGTGTGTCTTCAGGGGCCTTTCTTCTTTGCTCTGTGTTCTAGTAACTTATTTCCATATTGTCACTTCCTGGACCTGTCAGCTGAGGTTGTCAGGGAAGAAACCTAATGTTTATGTTGTCTCCTTGTAGCAATTTCCATAGCTGCCCCAAGCACCGTGATTGTTTGCTCTTTCTGTGTCTTACTAGCCTGCATTTGAGGTTCAGAAGGCACCTTTTTCCTTCTCTTATTTCTGTGCCCTCGTTCCTTTTCTGAGAAGTTCACCAGCTCCTCAGGGGCAGGGGGAGATGTGTATTCATCTTGGAATCATTGGTACTCATTGCAGAGACAAGCATGTGACAAAGACCTGGAAATCACTAGGAGAGGGAGCAGGAGAGGACACACACTATCAGTCAACGACGCTATTTGTTATTTTTTGTTTGGTGGTATTAAATGGGGTGAGGGTATGCTATGAGATGTAATCAAGAACTTGAGGCTTAGTAGTCACCTACTCTGTCCCTCTTATTTCATAGATGAAGAAGCTGGGATCTGGGGGTGTGATTGTCCCAAGGTTATGGAGTTCCTTATTGCCGAGGCTTCCTGCAATACACCATGGATTGCAGTGAGAGGTGGTGACTGTCTGTGGATTTCAGATGTCCACATCATTACCTCTCAAACGCTATTGCATATACAAGTCACGGTGGGGGAGGATGCTATTAAAATGCACATTCTGATTTGATAGGTCTGTGGGAGAGACCTGATATTCTGAGTCTATAGAGTTCTTGTATGACAGGCTCAGGTCCACACCATTTGTACATCTCAACGCCATCATGGTTAATATTGAATTTCTCTATATCCATTTTGTGGCCGTACAGCATCTTTTTTTTTATTTAGTAAGAAAACGACTATATGTTTAAGTTTACAACTATATGTTTCTTATATCTTTTTGTTTATAATTCTTCTACCCATTTATACCTTTTTGTCTCATCTTTCATCATGTATGCTTTCTGATAATTCTTTCTTCTCATTTTATTCTGCTTCTTAATTTTTTATTAACATCCATTTGTCTCTTCTCACTCAC